TTACTCAAGATTTACACACAGCCTACTTCCAGAAGGATTTTAGACAGCTTAAAAAGATAAGCGCATTGTAAAGCGGACACACAAATTTAAAGCGGAATTTTAAAACGACTCAAAAGTCTCCAGGGAAAACACATTCCTACCCTGATACACCCTTCTCTTGCCTTCTCCACCCACGGCTTCTCCTGCCCCTCTTCAAGACAGACAGGGGCATTAATATGCCTCCTCTTGTTTGTTGGGAATGCGGACACACCCAGGGAGTAAACTATCAGCCTGGCTCCTTCCTGGTTCCCAGGTTGCGGCAAGCTGCCTGGCGTTAGAGGGGCACGTCTGTTGAATTCTGTCGCTATTGGAACGTCCATTTGCTCCAGTGTATCCATAGGAACAAAGATGCAGAGTGGTGAAACCGGGCCACACACCCCTCACACTTAAAAAGAGCTTTATTGTGTTGCACAAGCCATAAATGCACTTGATGATGTACATTAAAGAAAGATAGTCATGCAGAATCTTCTGATGGCAGGACCTTGAGTCCTCATAAAATGTAATTAGGAAATAGCATTACTGAAATGCTGAGCAAGACTTTTCCTGTGTCCTGTTTTGAGGGAGTGATTTCCTAGTCAATCCTTTGACTTCTTGGACACTATTTCTTTCCTTCTTCAGATTATGACAAAAAGAAGACACATACAGTAGTAAACCATCCCTCCCTCCCCTCCTGCCCATGGTCTAGGATGAGCTTGGATTCTGATTTGACAATGAAGTGCCACCCATACTATTTACAGAACATTTACACACATGAAATCCCGCTTGATCTGCAAAATACTACAGGCGGGAAACTGTCAAAACTGTCCTAATCCCCATTGAAAAGAGGAGCTGGAGAAGTGAAGGGCTTTGTGAAAGTGTCCCAGAGCAGCCAGCAGGACAGAATGTGGTCCATTGCCTCCCATTCTGCCTTTAGTTCTGACCAACAGCATTCCTTCCTGGGGTGTGAGTCGGGGCTGACGATTAAATGGCAGGAGCAGGGATACATCGAAGCTGGTCCTGTGACAGTCGGCCAGGCCATCCCGATCACCATTTGTCGCGAATGCCATCCAAGTGGACCGGCAGCGTTTAAAGGGGCTTTACTGCACTTCGTTTCTTGTGTGCATGGGACATAACGTGTGTGTGGAAGTCAGGTGAGAATTTGCAGGAGCAACTTCTACAACATGCATCCCAGGGATCAAACCCAGGTCATCAACTGGGCAGCAAGTGCCTTTAACCACTGAGCCACTTTGTCAGCCCCACCAGTGACTCTGTTCTAGAAATTCATTCTTTCTTATATCCATTGGTTGTCTGCTTTTACTCCCTTCCCTGTGGTTCGTATTTTATTTTTAAACCAACAAAGGAACACACACACATACACCCCTCACCTTACAAATCAGGGTCTAGTTGCCACCGAACTTATTCCTAATACTGACAAAGCTTTCTCTTTACTCAAAGCCAACACCAAGGCTCTCTCCTCATAGCAGAGTCAGGGAGGTTAATGGATAGAAGCCCTATTATCGAAAATATGTCCTCACTTCTGCTGCTGCACTTAAAACTACCAGAATGCTAACAGAGTCTTGCCAGAATGAAGATACACAGTTATATCCACCTTGGATAGTTTTCATGTTACTTCAGATATTTGTTCCTGCCCACAACAGCCTCCTAACAGGCTACCTGGCATTGGGTTTGTTGTTGCTGTTTGGTAGAAAACTGACTAAGAAGGCCAGAAAGGAGGAGAGGGAGAAGGGTGATACGAAGAGCCAGCCATTGGTAAGGAAATGACTCGAGGTGTTTTACCATTGTTACTCACTAGAAAAGGAATCCCACCTTCTGACTGGCTCACATGGCTTGCATTCTGGGAAAACAGAAGTCTGATCTTAAGTTTTACAGAAGAAGCCTATAAAGCCTATTTCTAAGGGTTTTGGACCAGATGTGCCAGTCTGAGCCTGTAATCCCAGCACCCAGGGGGCTGAGGAAGAGGGACTGCAGATTTACAGCCAGCCTGGACTACATACCAGTCCTGGCCAGCCTGGACTACACTGTGAGCCTCTGTCCACCCCCACCCCCCCCTCCCCCACCCCTCCCCCACAAAAAATCTTTTGATTACTAAAATTCATTTCATGTAAAGTAAAATTGTCTTGGGTTTCCTTAAGAATGCACCCTAAGGCGGTATTCAATTTACAATTTCTTCAAAAAACCAACAAAGAAACAAAAAATGAAAAACAAAACCAATCCTGTCAGCAACGTTTCTGAAAAGGAAACGTGTGTGTGTGTGTGTGTGTGTGTGTGTGTGTGTGTGTGTGTGTGTGTGTGTTACTTCACACCTGTCCTGAAAACTCTTCAAAAGTTGTGATTCATGACAGTTTGGTCTCCTCAAATGAACACAGAGCTGGGGACCAAGCTCAGTGGTAGAGCACTCACGGAGCATGCTCAAAGCCCCCGGCCCCACCCCCAGCACAGCACCCAGCCCAGGCTATGTATGAATATGTATCTAATGTGCAATTGCTATTTTCTTTGGAAATATCCACTCTCAGCGTTCGGAACCGACACATTTTCCCTTTACACGAGGCCTGTGATTCCGATGGAGAAAGTCTGTGTCCACTGCAGGGTGTACCTATAGCAGGATAGAAGGGATACGAATTCCCCACGTAAACGGAAATAAAGTGTAGAAATACGGAAAGACACTGGGATAATCACAGGAATACAAGGCATCACTCTGAAAATTACATATTGTTTTCAAAAGGAAGAAACAATCTCTCCAGTAAAACATTTGCTAATCATCCACTCAATCAAGCGTTTAAGCTAAACATCACCAGTGAACAGCCAGATGTTGTAATACAAAGCACTCTCACTTCAGTGGTTTGTCTGAGTTTATAGTCACCACAGGGAAATGATCAGACAAGACGAGAATGTGAACGTTCTACATGTCAACTAGCCTTGTCCCCCCAAAAAGTCTATGTCGAACACACAAAAAAGGTTTCTGTGCATTCTGAAAGCTACAGCGGCAAATAGCCAAATGTAATTATATTAATAAGTGGGCTTTGGGGAAATCCTAGTTTTAACATTAGAAATAATAAAGGAATCTGGGTGGCAATTGAAATCTGAATTTGGAAAGGTGTTTGATGATATTAGGTAACAGTTCTTAACTTTCTTAGCATGTACGTGCATCTGCCAGTATGGGGAAAATACATTTATCTGTTCCTGTTTGTTTCTTTATGTATTGGTAGTGCCGAAGAGCAAATCCATGACGTCTTCCACGAGACAAGTACTCTCCCTCTGAGCTACACTCCACCCCAGAATACCCTTTTTTCTAGGAGAGGCAGGCTGGGACTTAGTGGTGCCTACAGGCCTACAGTGACTTCCAAAGAGCTTAGCTCCCCACATCCAAACATACACAGATGGGGTGGGGTCCAGATACACACGACAAAATGAGTGTTTGCTGTTGTATGAGACAATATCTAACCCTGGTTGGTCTAGTACTCACCGTGTAGCCCAGGGTGACCCAACAATCCTGTCACCACAACCTCCCAAGTGCTGGAATTACAGGTGTGGGCCACCATACTCAGCTGATAAAATGGGCGATTATTAAGTCTGGTGAGCGGTATTATTGATATGTATTACACTGTTGTTTAAACTTTCCACATTACGTGTTAGAAGACACAATGGTACAGTAACTAGTCTCCTCTGTGTACAGGAAACGTCTGTGCTTACATTTAATAACAAAATTAACGCTGCATTGGGACAGTTACTGAAGGCAACTCAGAGGCCCTCCGAGGACAGTGGGTAGACTGAGGACACAGTATAGACCTCCTACATTGACTGACTTTCCCACTCTCTTTGAAAACCTTATTCACACATCAAAGGTCCTATCAACACATAGCTAGGAAGTTACTAAATATGTCTAGAGTTTGATGATTTACTGCTCAATATTTTTATAACATAAGAACGTTTATGCTGGCCAGCTAGCCTAGCCACTTGGGGGGTTCTAGGCCAGGGAACCTAGTCTCAAAAAAAAAAAAAAAAGGCCCAAGACACAGCACCCAAGGTTGTCCTGGGGCCTACACACAGGTCTCCACCTACACACATACAGCCTTTAGGTGTTTTAGGTGGACTCCAGCAGAGAAACGGGAAAAACAGAGCACTCAGCTAGTGTGACACTGATCCTTTCCAGGGGTTCAAGTTCACCCTTTAGTGCACTCTTAAAGCGCAGTTACTACAGAGAGCTGCTGACAACCATCAAGCCTGCTTCTAGGAAGTCAGTTATCCATGTCCCTACCTGCCTGGCCTCTCACGGGCACTCTGAACTTAGCTCAGACACCTCTGTCCCCTGATGCTCTGAAATGCAAGTCAAGGAACCAAGCTGCGGAGCCTGTGTTCTTGGGAAGACGGTACTGAACTCTTACCAATTCCAGTACATCTGCTAGCCTGGGGTGCCGCCTCTTCATGGACAGGCATAACTCACTCATCTGCTGTTTTTCGGGCTTTGCTGGTGTTTGGGTGAGAGGCAGGTGGCGTGTTCGGAATGCGGGGATGGAGTGGTACAGTAGACGTGGTCTGGCTACCCCAGTATCTGCCCTTGGAAATGAGAAAGAGAAGTGGTGGAGGAAAGCGGTAACTCACAACTGCTGGCCTGGCGAGCGCTCTTCCTTTCTGGTCTCTTCTAGGAAGGACAGCTCTCAGAAGACAAACAAATGAATTAGAGATTTCCCAAAGGTGGACAGCAGGAGAAAGGGGCCTATTCTGTCCTATTGTTGAGAGTTTGTATTGGGTGGAAAAGACAGATGTGAAGCTCGTCTGAAAATTATTTCGAAGAACTCTTTACCCCAAACTGCAAATATATCACACCAAAAACAGAACTTAAAAGGAGTGAACCACAATACTTAATACATTTGAAAATACGAAAGATCATGTTCCCCTGTATTTAGGGAAGATAAGGAATGTCTCTGTGAGCCAAGTACACCCCAGAGAATTGCAAGTCTTACCTAGGTACAAGGATGCGTTGTCTTTCTTGACGTTGTCATCTAAATAGGTTGGTCCCAGGGTGTAAATCGGTGTGGAGCCCATTCCAATGAGAACCTGTGCACAAACGAATAAAGCTACATACACCCAGTGATTATTTCCGCCCGAGTCCTTGGGACAGGGAAGGGGCTCCATGTTGGCCGTGGAGTTGCCATTCTGACAAAGGCCGTCGTTGGAGACCGACGTGTTCAATTCTTGGATTTGATAGGGAGGTGAGATGAAGTGAGGTAAGGCGAAGAGCGCAGCCCCGACAGCGATAAGAAGTCCACCCACCGCCAGCCATAGGGGCCTTCGCCCACGGCCGCCAAAGTAGCTGACGAACACCACCACTACCAGGTTCCCTATGTCAAAGCAGCTGACCAGCAGCCCGGACTCGGAACTCTTCAGGCTATAGCGCCTTTCAATGGTCGTGATGACACTGCTCAGGTACCCGGAGACCATCAGCGCCTGGATGAAGGTCAGAAAACACATGCACACTAGGAAGCAGCGAGAATCCGTAAGGACCACATAGAGACACCTTCTCTCCTGGAGTGTGGCCAGAGTAGAAGACACTGACATCGTTTTGCTGGGGTCCGTCCTGTGGTTACAGTCCACGACTTCCGCTGTAGTCCCTGCCGAAGTGGATGGGGCAGAGGGACTAGGGACGATCAGGTTCCCTCCTCCACGCATCTCCTGGTGACCCGAAGATTCAGGGGAGCCCGCGGCCAGTTCGCCATCTGCATTCCCAGCACTGAGATTCGGCCGGCAGGAGGCGCTGTGCAGGACCGGCAAACTCTTAGACCTGAAGGTCTCCGACTCGCACTTCTCTTGGACAGCTCCTACCCCGGCAGGTGCCTCCAGCTGCTCTTGGGCCCGGGACTGCACAGCCCCTTCGTCCATGGCTCTTAAAATCTGACCGCTGATCCCATACAAGGCCTCCGGCACTTTTCATCCACCTGCGCGAGGGGCCGAAAGCGGGCCCACACTCAGTTGTGCCCACCTGAGACCCGGGCTGCGGACGTCAGAACCGCGTAACTGAACATCTCAGCAGCAGGGAGATGCCCAGAGCATCCTGACCGGAGGCGCAGCGGGGAGGTTTCTCCACCTCGTGCCAGGGGAGGTAAAGATCCGCACGGTCCTGCGAGGAGCCCTGTTCGGCGTCCACCTCCCGGGGATAGCTCGCGGTAGGCGCTTTGCGCGTCCGGTGCTCATCCCCTCCGCCGCCGCCTCTCAGACGGTGGCCAGGAGCTAGAGCGCTCTGTGCCCAGTGTGGTGTCACTTAGCGCGACTGTCCGAACGGCATCCCACTTGGTACTCCCAGGGGTATTCGGTGCCCACCGCAGGGCTTGTGACACACTCGGGGGTGAAGCTGCCAACCTGCAAAGCAGAAAATGGATCGTCAGGAAGGATGGCTGCAGTTGGGGCTGGCGTCCCGGCGCCCGGGGGCTAGAGCTAGGTAACCCCGTGGTCCCTAGAGGGGCCGAGGTGCCAGGCACTAGCTGAACGCGGCAGGAAGAGCCCGCAGAGGCTGCAGCCTCAAGTCCCGGAACAATGAGCAGCAGGCGGTCCGCCGAGACTCTCCCTCATTGTCTGCTGCGGGCCTGCCCCCGCCCCGCCCCCTTTGCCTTAAACAGTGCGTTTGCTTTTATATGTTAATAATTATCAACTAGCAGCTCTGACTCAGAGGCAGTGTCTTTTATTCAAGTGAACTAATTGCAGCCTTTTGGTACTCCTACTCTATGACTCAAAATAGAAGATTCCCAAAAGAACAAAGGAAAGTTTTTTTTTTCTTCTTTTACAAACACACAGTGCCTTCCCGGTCTCAATTTTTAAAATGCATTTTTTAAGCGATAGACAGAAAACCACGTGTAGAAATGTGTTTGCACACTTGTACGCTGGCACGTGTGCGCGATTAGATGTGAATTCGTCTGCTCCATTAGACACCTACTTATTCAAAGCCAAAGGCAGCCGGAGAAAAGAAAAAAAGGTCAGCATGCTTGTCTGGTTATTCTTTGCGCTAAAAATAGCCCCTTGCCGGAAAGAACTATTCAATTACAAGTAACGAGGGCATTCAAGGCTGTGGCCCACGTTAAGTCCCAGAGCGCAATGTTGAGCGAAACCGAAAATCAATTTGCTTTGCAGATGGCTGGGTGAAGCCACAACCAAACAAAGAGACGCTGGCATGCTTGCACTGCGTGCACGAGGAGCCCACCGAAGCGGCTCAGCACCGGCGGGCTGGCGGGGCGGTGTGCAATTTACCGAGCGCACCCCGAGAACGTGGGCCCTGGGGTGTGTGCGCGCCTGCGCAAACACACATGCACAACACACGCGCGCGCGCGCACACACATACACACACACACACACACACACACACACACACGCACACACACCAGAGAGTACAGGGTGAAACTGTTGTGCAATCCAGCACTCGGCTTGAATTCAGCAAGCACCAACATCGGTGTGTAAACCCCATCCCTAATCCTAGAGAACCCTACACCCCTCTCGCCGCGCCGCGATGTGCACCAGGTGGGAGGGACTGGGGCTCCGCTGCGTTGGGTTTCGTTCTGAGCTTTTGTGGTGCTGCTACGCCGGGAAAGGGGGTAGGAGAGAAAGGCGGAGAAGCTGGCCGAGGGGTGGCAACCACCGCATCTCTCTGGACTGTTCCGGACAGGACTCACTCTCAGATTCCCGGCCTGCCAGGAGCTCACAAGCCGTGTCTTGGGCTCCGCCCGCTCACCCTTGCGCCTTCCCGGGGAACTCCACCCGTGGCTGAGCGCCGAGCTGGGGAATCCCGGCGTCGGAGCCCCTGCCTGGGGGAGCAGCCGCAGCGCGGCGCAGACTCGGATGGGATGAACACCCGGATCCCCGCCCGAAGCTCTCGGAACAGATGCGGAATCCCAGGGACACCCCCTGCGCGCGCATGCACTCACACACACGCAGCCCGTGGGAGGACAGAGCCGCCGGGTCCGCTCGCCGCTCTGCCGGGCTCACCAGCCTTCACAACTCACTAGCGAGGGTGACGACCGGTCTGCCGGGTTGGGAGAGGAGCGGCCGCAGTAGGACAGCGGAGGTGCCTTGCAGACGGGCCAGCCTCCTGCGGAGGCGGTCTCGGTCCTGCCGCCGAGAAATCGGGGAGTGAGACTGCGACTCGGGCTGCCTAACTCTTCCCCCAACCCCTGGCCTGTCACCCAAGCCTCTTCTCTCCAGACAGACACACGCGCACAGAGACGCACCGGGACTAGAGCGGCAGAGGGCGCAGGCGCGCGGGCAGCCACCCAGCCCAGCCCGTGGGCAACGAGCCACCCTGCTGCCCTTCACCTGCACGGAGAGAAGACGACCCTCGCCGAAGCCCCAAGGAAGCGCGTGTCTTAAAAAGCCACCGACTGGGGCCGAGAGCCATTATATGTAAAGTATTTCGGTTCGTTTCCACCAAGTTCACCACGCATCGTGTCTTTTCTACTGTAGCAGATTCAGGGGACCAAGTGGAACAAGATCCCTGATGTAGGGAAACTTGTCTTGCCAAGAAAATGTCTGCGTTAATGGCTTGAGCCCATGCGGTACGTTCTATACAGTTTGCTACCGCAGAACCAGACACCCATTAGCCTTCCTTTCCAATGCAGCAAGGGCGCTGCAAAGGCACAGACAGGGTCATGGCGCGCCAAGTAAACCAGTAGACTCCCTGCTGGGAGTCTGGAGAGATGGGGCAGAGCACTGCACTGTCCTGGTGGCAGAGAACAGGACACAAGGGTCTCATGACTTGTGTACTGTCAGTCCCGAGGTGCCATGGCTTTCTGCCTTTCTTACTAGAAAAAGCTTCGTCCGCGATGGGTAGACTACTGTGAGTGCAGAGGCAAGTAAGGTGGAAATCAAGCATGGGATGAGGTGGGGGCCAGGGAAACAGAAAGCAAGCTGAGAAGGTAGATATGGCTAGCCTAGTTAGGCCAACACGGGGGGGGGGGGGGGAGAGCGAGGGGGAGGAGACTCCCGATTTAAAACTTGAGTAAATAAAGTTTAATCAAAACATGAGAGGAGAAACGTACTGGCTGTTCTCGTTTTATAAGGGTTGAGTTTGAAATGCCATTAGAACATCCAAGTGTACATACCCCATAAGCTACAGGGTATAAAATGCTCAGGAGGTTTGGACTAAGGATGTAGATTAGTAGTAATTAGCCCTACAAAGACGACATGAGAAAGTATTAGTGAGTAGGGTGGATTCCAAACTGAGATATAGGCTAAAGATGGGGAGCTGAGAACATTAAGAACTGAGAGGAAGAAAGTTAAGAAAAAAGATTAGAAGTCGGAACCAGAGAGCACAGAGCGGTAGACAGGAATGGGTGTCACTGAGGCCTAAGGAGGCCGACTAAAGAGGGCAACAGACTGAGAAGGCCCTGCTTACTCACAGAACCAATGCTCGGCGGGCTACGGTGCCGTGTCAGGTCTATGGCTCCTGGCTGTCCCTATGACAGTGCCATCTCACTCTGTAGAAGTGGTATATGTGCTGTGGTCCAAAGTTCCACGGCCTTAGCCAGGCATAGTGCATTTGTCTGTAATCCAAGCAGTTGGAAGGCTGAGACAGAAGGGTTGGGGTCACATAGCAAGACTCTGTCTCCCCCCCCCCAAAAAAAAAACAGCATCTGGAGACTGGAGCGATGGCTCACTCCAGATGACCTAGGTTTGATTCCCAAAACCCATATGGTGGGTTACAGTCATCTACAGGTCTGGTCTCAGAGGACCTGACACGTCTCCATAAGCACTGCATGCACATGGGACATACATGCAGGCAAAACAATTGTACACATAAAAATTAATTATTTTCTAAAAACCTGTCCTTGTGGCCGTCACTTTCTACTCCCCTCCCTCTGGCTGAGTGGTATCTTGACTTGCAGCTCACTTCATGGCTAGACAACTGCCATGTCTCCAGACGACCTGTAAAGAACATGTGAGACCAGGGGACACCCAAGAGGAGTCCACGTGTCCCTGCAGCCATACAGAGACAGCACTGACGTGGCAGTGGGTGGACTGACTGGTCATTATTCCCTCTGTCACTGTCCACTCAAGCTGTGGTCATTTATCCCCAACAGAGAGAATGGCCCTAAGTGCCACCGCTTATTAGACTGTAGTTCCCTCTGCTGATAAAGTAAACAAAAATGTGTGGTCCTTTCTGTACCTAACTACTTTTCAGAGCTTATTCTGGATCCAAAGAATTGATCTCCATTGTCCTAGTTTCCCTCTGAGCACTTTCTCCCTGTTCTCTCATTTCAGCCTTGTTTCCAGACATCAGCTGTTCTGTAGCAAATTTGATCTCTTACATCAGGTGCCAAGGCTTCCCTACTGAAAGCTAAACAGCCCTGTTCCTGGAACCCGCTGTTTAGTCATGGCCAATTACCATACTCAAACTAGGGATGACTCTAATAGCCTACAGGATCGTGTTATTGTTTTGTCACACACGCAAAGGGTCATAATTTATAGACAAAATTTAAATGGCTCAATTAGCTGAATGTTTCACATAAGAAACACTCAGGATGAAATGTTTCCTTTACTGTTTGTCTAATAGCTCATGTGTGGTAGACATTATGGTGAGGAATATGTAAGGAGAAGCATGGCTTACCTCGTGGAGAACAGTTAGAGAGCAGAGAGAAAGATGGAGGACAGGAGGAGAAAGGGAGAGTGAGAAGACCCTTAGGAAAAGATATACCTCCTGTAGCACTGCTCCCAATGCCACGATCTCCTAAAAGTTCTGTCACCTGCAGTTACTGCCGTCAAGTAAGAACTGCTTAAGTCAGAGTTGTCACGATTCAACCACCACACAGGCTGGGAACCAATCCTCCAGTATATGAGCCTTTTATGAGAACTCCACATCAGAACCATGACATCAAGTCTGCCTTTATTGACCCCAATCTTCAGCTTAACAGAAAGAAATTGAGTCAGATTATAAAGTTCTGCTACCTATGGCTTCTTCCATTCTGTATGTGGTTGCCTTTTTTGATGTGTTGGAACAGGAAGCCTGTGACCAGAAACTCTCTTCAAAATTTCTAGTTTGCTTAGTTTCTTCGAAGTCACTTGGGAACAACCAAGACTATAATAATCTGGCCATTCAACACAGGAGGGTGAGGAAGGGGGGGGGGTCCATTACACATCTCTCTTTCCTTCCTGCCACTCAGGGCTGCTTTCAGGAGACTTCCCAGACACAAGAACTGAGTTTTACTCAAGAAGAGCTTCTGGGGTTAAAATAGATCTTGAATGTAATGGTTAATCTTCATAGTTAACTTGATGAGATCCAGACACACCCAAAAAACACGCCTCTGAGGGTGGGGGGAGGGCATTTCCAGAGACACTTAACCTGAAGAGGGAGGCCTGCCATGAACACAGGCTGCACCGCCCTGGAATTGTGGACAGAAAAACCAAAAGGAGGGCAGAACACCAGCCTTCATCTCTCTGCTTCCTGACAGCAGATGCTACGTCGCCAGCGGCCTCACACTTGGGTTGCCGTGACTTCCCCGCCATGATGGACTGTGTCCCCTCAAACCCTGAGCTAAAATAATGATGTCACTACTCATTACATTTGCTCACAACAAGAAAAAGCGGCTAGTACACTTGATATTGTCATCGCACTGAGTACTGATGGTTTATGAGGGGGGAACATCTCTTTTAGGAAGGCACTTAACTAAATTTGGCATCTGTGCTCATACTTAGAAATAAATTTTAAGCTGAATAAATCAAAAGAGAGATAGATCTGAGCCTGGGGTCCCACAGTAAATGCTTGGAGGATCCTACAAGTGCTAATGAAGTAGAAAGTCACACATGTTTGCTTTGGTGTTATGAGCCCTGAACCCTAAGAAACTGCTGCCACAGCCCTACAGAGGAGCCATGCAGATGGTCAGCCTGAAGATTGCAAGACCTCATCAGTCAGGACCTTAAAGAATCTACTTAATCTCTCTTAATAAAATGATGCCCAACACTCCAAGATTTGTCATGAGAATGGCTTGCCTATGAAGAAGAGAAATTATCCCCAAAGCTTTGTGTTCCCTTGAAAAGTGTTCCAGAAGCTGGGTGTTGTGGTTGAACACCTACCTATAACCCAGCATCGGAAAGTAGAGGCAGGAGGTTCAGTGCATCACACTCATCCTCAGCTGCATAGCAAGTTAGAGGCCAGCCTGGGCTACATGAGATCCTGACTTTAAATGAAAAACCAAGTGTTTCCTAGTTACCACCATTCCCCCTAGGCCTGGAAAGGACAGAGGCAGAGCAAGCAGAAGGAGTTAGGATTGGGAGACAGTCACCCATGGGCCCTAAGGGTCTCTGCACACTCTTTTGGTATATGCAAAGAGTATATAGGCCTGAGTGCTCTTTGCCTAGGCCATTTCTCAAGTGTATTTGATGCCAAGAATCTTGAGGGCTGACCAAGACTTGCTAGTCCATTACCAGAGCAGTCTCTCTCCTTGTGCTGTGTACACAAGCATGGGCAATGGACTCTTCACATCATTCCATGGGACTTAGGGTCTCTTGATACTGGAATCATCTCCCCAGTACCCAGAATGAACTTACCCACTTGTCCATGGGGTCAAGCTCCAGACCCTAGATCATTCTTAGAAAGCACTGGTCAATAGAACACAACCTACCAAACCCTAAGTTCCTTTATACTGGGTAACGCAGCTCGTTCAAGGCCTGAGATCTGAAACAAATCTTTTCTCCGTGGGCCTCCAGCATACATTTCCTGGGTTCTTTTTGTTTTTGTTTATTTCCTAAAATAGCAGTGTATGGAAAGCTAGCTTCAACAAAACAAAACAAAAAACAAGCAAGCAATCAAAGAAGCAATAAAACCACCAACCCCCAGACCCGCATGTAGATGAGGCTCTGTCTAAGAAATGAGGCACTCGGTGAGTGTTGGGAGGTAAAATGAGCCATTGCTACGTTTTCAGATGTCTCCTGGCAGCAAGCACCTCATGAAGATGTGGTTCTTTCCTGCTTCAGCATCCCGTAGCCCAGTCTGGCTTCTCAGTGTGGAGAGCCCAACACAGCATTAACCACTTCTGATGTCTGCATCAGGCCACAGCAGAAAGTCCTGGGAGGGCCTCTTGTTCCCCACCCTCAAGGCAATGGAAGAGGTACCAGTTTCTCTGGCAGGACACCTTTGTGTATTCTAACAGTCCTTCCTAGATAACATTTGTCCAGCCCTTCTGGACATTTTG